AGATACCATCTATTTTCTATCAGGTGGTCTTATTGATACAAATCTAACTAAATTTTAGAGCATTTGTTCTCAACTGGTTTTTATTTTTTTCCAAGGCTGCTGCCTCTATTTTGGACCTGGAGAAGGACTGATGTACTTGAAAGCTTATTGATTTTTTTCCCAGAGAGACTAGTGGGTCTAATAACATAGGGCTGCCTACAAACCTTATTTTGGTCATATCCTTGGATACATCAACAATACTGTGTTTTTATTTCTTCTGGTGTAATTTATGGCTGTCAACATTACGCAAATATCCCAGCAATAACTAGTAATGATATGGAGAGAGTTATGCTGGCCTGTCAGCAATGTTCCTAAACTTCATCACGGAAAAATAAACAGAAAAATCTCAGGCAATTGATGTACTGGAAGAGACTGCAACAGAAATGTATCTTATCATTATGAAGTTGCCATGATACAGTCATTTGTTCATTCTGGGATGAAACTTTCTCTCCCTCTTTTTTTTTTTTTTTTTTTTTTCTTAAATTCCTGTGTGTTTCTAAATCAGAGAAATTTGGTTTTTATGGGTGTATTTCTCCCTCTTAGTGGAGTTCCAGAGCAGTGTGCAGTTTCCCTGCAGTCCCGTAGGGTGATGGGTGCCGGACAGTACGGAAGCAGACACTTGAGTCTTGTAACGCCATCAACAGAAGTGCTAGTGATGAGCGCAGAATGCAGTGGCCCTCATTAACACTGAACTGTTAAATGAGACACTTGGACTGAGGTAATTGAGTTTCTGGCAGCCTGAAGCCAAGGGAGTGACTGATCCAAGTACCAAAATGTTACCTGTCAGTCTGCAGCTGTGTCGTATTAGCAGTTCCAGTGCTGGTCTCTGTCCTCATGCTGACTAGGAGATGATGATAGTGGATCTTGGCATATAGAGTCCACCAACGCCTTGCTAGTGGGTAGAGGACATGTCCTGTATGTCTGTACAACGGAGCCATCTGTGTGGTTCTACTCGGTGATAGCCGAGACTGGAAAGTGCATTTCTCTCTTACATCCTTCATGGGAGAGGCAGTGGGGAAGCAAGCGCATACTCTGCTCTCCTTGTCTGGATTGCCTCAGACAGCAGTGGTCCCTGGTGGTGAGGTGAAACTCCAACCTACACAGCTCCCATCGAAGCTCCTGAGGTCCCTTCTAATCTCGGGACTTCTTTCTTGTTGGAGAATAATGTGGGTAAACTGGAAAGGAGAAACTCAGAAGGGACCAAGCATCTGAAACCCCTGCTAGTCCGTGGGGTGATGTGAGCTAGCAGACCTCCGTGGGAGGAAACCGTGGCCGCTCTCATGCTGGTAATAGGATTCCTGCTGGGAAAAAATAGCAAATGAGCAGGTCATCCAGGATGCCAGTGCAGCCAAGGGCCAAATATAGGCTATATGCACAGCCTGGGAGTGCTGGTTTGCCTGAATCTCGTTTTCTGCAGGTGTTGGTATCACTTCCCCTCCACAGATTTGTTTCCATGTACATGAAGCTCTAAAGGCCCATGTGGCTGGTAAGGAGCAGGAATTAACTTTTCGTTAAATATCATAGCACAAAACCAAAAGCCTGGTGGAGAAGCAGAAGAAGCCAACCCTGAAGATTTGCTTTTATCCCCCTCAAAAATCAAGATTTGTGGCTTTTTTTGGAAAAGATATACTTGGGTAATTTGTCCTCATTTTGGTTCTTAGTAACTGGCACAGCTCAGCCAGCACTAAATGGTTGGCTGCAATTAACCTGTGTAATATTATTTTTGCTTCTTTTTGAGGAAGGGCTGTTTTGTCTTAGTCACCCACAAGCCTTACTTTATCTAAAGAAAAGCTCAATTTCTTAAGTGCAAATGTGATTTTAAAAGTAGTTATTCTTGTCCAGGAACATGATGGGAAGCTAAAGCAAAGGCTTTGAGATGTCAGAGGAGACCCGTTACAATTACCAGCCAGTTTAACAGGGCATCATTGTCCTCTTCTGAATGTGCTGCGGAGAAACCCAGTGAGGCTGAATCATCATGTGCCCTACATCTGCCACCACTCTAGGGCCGAACCCGCCGGTTCTGAAAGTTCATGTTTTGAGAAAGGTCTTCAAAACAGAAAGCAGAGTTCAGCAACCCTGCACCATTTCCAATACTGGAAGTAAGGGATTGGGCTATGTTTTCTTGCTCTCTCTGCTCCTCTTGAAGCACTGGTCTCTTCATTCCTTAGCATACAAGGGAGAGGCCAGGAGTGAGGAATCACCTTCAATAATTCCCATTTTAAAGTGCATCCGATTGCAATTTATTGTTGAATAAGAGAGATAGGTACAGTTCTGACATTTAGATTCTACTGATGTTTCAAAATTAAATGCAGTATATTATGTGAATCACATTTTCTGTGAAGTATCTTTTTATAAGACAACTGACTCCAGATTTGAAGAATATATTTAGCATTGACTGTAACTTTCTTTTCTCTAGCAGAGAAACACTAATTCAAGGGTTGTGTGAAAGAAATGCTTTGGGTCAGGGACATTTTTAACTGAAATGCAGACTCTCTGAAGGCTTCCAGGGAAGGGTACTTCACCTGAAGAGTCACATCGAAAGCTCTGCCCAGCTTCTAAATCACAGGCTTATTGCAAAGCCTAAGCGTTTGTACCAAAATTCAGTCTGATGCAAACCAGGTCTATTTGTATTCATACCACCACCTAGTTCAGTTTCTGGCATATATTCAAAATGCTGGATGAAAATACACAGGTGCATGAAAGTCCCCATCCAAACTGATCTCAAAGATTAAGCAGGGAAAATTCCCAAAAACCGGAATCAGAAACACTTACTGCCTCAGCAAAACAACAGGTTCCTTTGCTGAGTGAGGGTACACTGAGAGGGGCTCCCAGGAGCTAAACATTAGCTGCGATACAAACACAGGAGATGTTGGGTTTTGGGAGTTGCGTGACTGAAAATTGGACAAGTGTGGTCAGTCCAGAATGCAACTTGTCACCCTGCTCTGAATCACAGGTCTCAACTTGGCCAGCGGCCCTGTCCTAAAAGTACCTGTTTCTCTCCAACCCAGCACCTATAAGGGGAGCCTGGGATGACTGTGTCAGCAATCTGTCTGCCCTGTAGGCACCTGAACTTAATGAAGTCGACCCCACAGAGCACAAGAGCAAGCTTTGCTTACATCTGCTGCACTCTGAGGGCACAGAGGCAGCGGGCATCCGAAACTTGCTGCCTTTTGCCACAAAGTGCCTCCACGCCATGATGATTTTTTTCTCTCCAGCAGATGGCCCAGCCAGCCTTGTCTTGCCATCCCTGGCAGTCTCACTGCAGGTGTCCTCTGCACGTTATTCTAGATTGGCACCTTTGAAATCCATCTGAGTTTTAGATTATATAGAAAACCCATGTAATAAAAAATCACGTACATCCAACTGAATATTCATTAGTACCCTAGAAAACTGCAATTTTGAATTTGCAATGTTTTTAGCAATAGCGGCTCCATATCAATAACAACTCACTACCACCACTTCACAGCTGCAGTTTTCTGTGAAGAGATGGTCCCAGGTCAGTAGTGCTGGACAAATTTATTTTCTGTAATAACAAAGACTGAAATGGAAAACATGTGGCTAATACATCAATTCTGCTTTTTAATGTGACTATCTTTCTGCCTCCTCTGAGTTACTGGAAACATCCACATGACATATTTCCCCTTCCAAAGATCAATACCTGTTACAAAAATAACCGCTGTTCTAGATGGAAAGCTGGCATTCAACAGCACTTGATTTTCACTTGCTCTTTGCCATTTCCAGTAAAGCTAGATACGTATTGAGACAAGACATTTACAACTATATGATCTGTAGTGTATATGAAGTGCTTTTCCGTAGAAAAATCTGTACTGTCTATTAGCTTATTGGTTTCTAATGACAAAATACAGCACTTTGTTAGTTAATTATGTTCTTTCATGCTTTTCCCCTGTCAGAATGCAAGCCCGTCTTTTCTAAACCTTACTAATCCAGTCACTCGTGTGGATTTAACTCTGTGTTTAAAGGGAAGATGAACTGGAGCGGTGTGATGTATGGGCAAGCTGACTCGCTGCCCTATACGTTCTGGGCCACCAGCAGAGTCAGAGGCATGGACAGCAAAGGGGGGAGTAGGGCAGGAGAGGACTACTTCTGAAGTAACTGTACCCGCGAGATATACAACGGCAGCAACTGTTACCTGGTCAACTGCTGTGTGATAAAAAGTGCAAGTCAGGAGATGATGCTGTGCTGGAGCTTTGCTGTTGAGTTCACATCCAGCAGGCACAACGCAGGATTCCAGGAACTCTGATCCTGAGTGCTGACTGAGTATTCCCACAACATCGGACCTCCAGCTCCGGGCTTGGGTTTTGAGATTTGCATACATGTACAAACCTGCACATTGGCTCTATTTATGCAACATCCTAACCAGGTCCCAGGCACTGGAATTGTAAATGGCATCACATCAAGGCACAAGGGGAATAGTAAAGAAAGTAGGACGGGTCTTGAGCAGCTTATGTATTCATTTATGTATTTCAGTCAAATATCTCATTGTAACATCACACCGATGTAAATAAATTTCAGATTTCACATGTAATGACTTCTCGTCATGCACGTTTGGAAGCTAAAGCTTCTAAAATGAGATGTTTTTTCTTGCAAAATTTAGCCATCACCAGTAATAGCCTGAACTGAGAACAGCGTATTATTCTATTTCTCATTTGCATCAATTTTGTACATGCAAAATTGGGACTCCGCAGATTTGTTCCTGTATGTTTTCTTTGAATTAATAAATTTAATGAATCAACATTTGCTATGGAATCTAGTTAATCTGTCCAAAGTTATATGGAAATATGGGAATTAAATTAGACAGTGATCCAAACTAACTACTGATGCTGATTTTGTGATTAAGAAGTATGAAAACAGTCTCTTGACATTCTTGTGAAATTTACGTAAGAATCATAAAAGCTTTGGCAAACTAAATTTAGGAAACATACACATTAATACCACGAAACTAAGATATAAAAGCCATTTATTCAAAAAAATGTGGTGGTGTCAAATCACATACACAAGCCAATATTGAGCTACAAACACAGACCAAACAAGTTCTATAAACAGAAATTGGAGTGTTCATATACCATAGTACCTGAAAAAGACCGTTAATAAAAAGGAGTCCATAAGTATTTCATTTCACTTTTTCTATATGGCTCCTTGCTGAATGTCTTTGCCTAAGTTAGTGTACAATGAGCCAGAGGTAGAGTCCCAAGTAAAGCATCTAATGCCTCAGGGCTCCATTATAAACCTTTATTCTTCTAAACAAAAGGAAAGCCTAGCCTATAGTTTTCTGTATGACACTGAAGTAAAGCCTCTGCTTGAACAGTACGGCATTCCCAAGCGCATTTGGCATTAACCTAGATTGAGACTGTGCTTTGTCGAACCGTCTCAGTTCTCCTCCCCTTCAGACTCTGACTCTGGAAGAGAAATAAAACACTTCATGTAGGTTGCACAAGGACAGCGGCGTGAGTAATTCAAGAAAAATAACAAGATATCCTTCCAAAATTCAAATGAAAATTTTGATCACACCCAGTACTTCCTAGGAGAGGCTGGCAGATTAAACAGAGCGAGCCAGAAAGAAACTCACAGCTTCAGAAGATGAAGATCTACTCTGCTACCCTCCACGGTGGAGCTCTTTGCGTACAGAGCCTTCACTAGAATTTTAACCAGATGGCTATGAATTATTCTGGTCCCCATCTGCACAGCCTCAGCTGTGCTGAGTTTGAGAAAGGATCAGCACTATTTGCTGCCTCTTCTGATCTCTGCGAGTAGGCTGTACTGCTACCATCCAGGAAGCACCCTTTAAACTATTTGCTCTGCAAATACCAATCATCATCACTCAGCCTATCTAGAAAGGCATATGCGGTGTTACCCTACAGCAGGTATGAAATCTGTACAAACAACATTTTTTGTGATTTCTATAGCATAAGATAAAAGTAATTTAGAAGTAGCAGGAGGAAAAGTAGGAGTAACAAAAATAGAAGTAATTTAGAAGGAACATACACGGTGTTTTTGTCACCTAAAGCTATTTTGCATCATGCTGTATTTCTATCTGTGTTCACCTGACAGGAAAGGGCTTGCTGCCAACAAATATTACACGTTAGATCAGATTTCTCAGAGCAAACACAGTCTACATGTTCCTACGGTAACATTTTGTCTCCATTTGTACTGGACTTTGTAATTAAAGACATCTGGCAGAGGGGACATGCAGGAAAGGATAAAAATAAAGAGCCAGGGAAAGGCATACAAGCAGATTAAAAGGGGAAAAGAATGCTTAATTAGACCAAGACTGCTAGTTCAAAGTCTCAAGTGTGAAAGGAGCTGCCATTTTTATCCTGTTAGCTGCACATGCCAATTGCTGCAGGCAATCTGCTCCTTGGCGTTACGACATATTCCCCCCAAGCTTCTAAAACCAATTATCATAGAATGGTTAGAGTTACATTAGTTATGTTTACATTTAATAAATACATTTAATTACACTAAATGGGCGCAAATGAACACGAATAATTATATCCCTATCTATTACACATGGACTGCTCTTCCCAATTGAGGTGGAATTCCTTTTCCGTGCAAAAAAATATAACTTATTTATTCAGTTCAAACCAAAGTATTTTCCTATACAGAACATGAGAAAAACAAAGTTAGGGACTAGAGAAACTACCTCCCCTCCCAGTAACTGTTCTAAAGCAGTAAATACGGGCCACATATCTTAGCCTGATTGTTCAGCTAAAAGCAATTTCGACTGCAGCGGCACAGGCAGGCTCACGCTCTGTTCGCATCGCCAGTACAGATGATAACAGCAGGAAAGGCACTGATACTGAAAAGTGTTCGGTTGCGCATGCTAACACCACGGTACTTCACACTGTCATCAGTGCAGCGCTCCTCCCTGCAGAAGCTTCAAGAATTTATCTACAGACAAGTGGTACCTGATGACTTACGGACTTCACAAGGACACCACAAACATTAAAAAGCAGCAAGTGTTGTTAGGCTCGGGCACAACTGGAAACAATTCGGAGCAGTCATGCCTGCTGTTTTCTATTCTAAGTGTGTATACTTCCTATGCCTGGTACAACTAAAACCTGGAAAAATAAATTTGATTTGCCAAGAGACTACCGTATTTCTTTAAATGAATCCGTACCTTCTTCAGCATTTTGCAGCCACTCCACGAACTTCTTCATCTGGTCAAGAAAAACACTTTTGCCTTTAGCAACATGTGCTTCTTTATACCACTTGAGGATAGCTTCTTCACTCAGAACATCAGCTGAAATACAGATCAGTGTTTGTTAAAAAAAAAAAAAAAATCAATGTATTTTTTAGAAGTTAGAAGATTTTGAACATGAGGGAAGAAAGATTTTTTTTTTTTTTTAAAGGCAGCATAAAAACAGTTAACATGATGGCAATGGAACAAGCTTTGCATGAACTATATTAGGCCACAACTACAGAATATCTGATGCATAGAAGGGATTCCAGATGCAATAAAATGTGCAACGTATTAGGCTTAAAATAAAGTACCAAATACTGTGCTTCTGTAAAGGATAGATCTCTATTCATCTGCTTTAAATACACCACGTAAGATGGTTGGATTAAAAAAAACCCAAAATAAAATAAAATAAATCAGTCTGCACATCTCAGAAGTTACAATAATAAGAAAGACCATGCTTTTTCTTGCTGTTGGATCACAAAACTGTGCATGGTTCTAGAAATTTGAAGTGACAGCCACCTCCTGATTGAACAGTTAAAAGACAGCCAGGAGGGATTTTCTTGCAATCATTTTCCCCCCCCAAAGGTTTTATATTGTTTTTAGCTAATAAGTTTTAAGGCCACTATTCAGACCACCCATTCTAAGGGACCAGCTCAGATGGACAGCACAGCTGACGTTTTTCTGTCAAGCATCAAGAACAAAATAGCTGTTAGTGAGGGAATGTGAGGCTGAGTGAGATTCAGAATAAAGAAAACCTAATAAAATGCAAGGACACATTGTTTCCAACAGATGCAAATTTAGGTCTAGCAACAGACCTCTAGCCCCAGGAACAAAGCTCCTGCGATCCAGCCAAGCCAAATATATCAGTAATTGATGGCTGCGGAGGCAAAATCTGGGATCCACAATGGCATTTTGGCAGTTACGAAATGCAAGAGGCAAGAACAACAACAACAACAACAAAATCCAACTGTATTTGTTCTATAAAAAGACTAAAGACGGCTTTCTACATCTCGTTAAACTTTCCATTCTTTTTGTCTTTGAACAAACTACCCTCCCTTGCTCTGCAAAATCAACACATTTATGTCGAGTTCTTCACCGCTTCCCTTGAGCTCCCTGGTGCTGTCCCCGTCATTTGGCATTCGCTTGCCAAAGCGCCGACCCTGACCATCACCTTCCGCTTCAGCCTAAAGGTTGCAGCAGGTGTGGCAGGGAAGGGAAGGCAGCAAACAAACAAATGACACCAAAACCCCAAAGCATCTCATCAAATGAGACAGAGTAGACACATTTCACATATGCTGTTGAATAACAAACAGATGGAAGCAACCAGGGATATGTTTGAACTTAATCAAAACTATTCTCAAGACATCCAACAGTAACCAGCTATGAAATCTCCCTGAAAATGTGGAATGTAATGAGTGTGTGCGACTGGAAGTTACCTTGTCTCTCAGTCACTTTCCAAAATAAAACCTCCTCTACAGTTTGCTGCAACTGACAGTAAGCTGAAAACTCAGGGAAAACAGGACTGCGCTGGCTCTCAGCTTTTTTCAGTACATTCAAAGCTGCACTTAGTGAAGCCTACAAGTGGCACATAAAGCCATATCTTCCTAAAATCACAACCCACCACAATAAACTTTTTCTCCAATGTAACAGAAAGACTGGAGCTAAGAAAGAGATTTCAAACATGTTGCACTAAATACTTGCCAGTAGTCTTCAGCAGCAGCTCACAGGCATCACAGCATTTAACAAATCAGGATTTCCATTTAGCAAACATGAAAATATTTCACACGGACTCTCATGAAACTGCAGTTTTATCCCTGCATGTAAAAAGCTTACATTCACCACAGAGGCCTGAAGTTCACGCAAATACATCTGCAGGGCGTGACACCTATTGTGATCCTTCGGGACAGGCAAAGAAAAATCATGAGAGATTTCAAAGAAAAAAAGAAAAGAGAAAAGAAAGAGTAGAACAGTCCCCCTCCTGGGGCTCAAGCCAGCTTTTGGGCATTGTGGACATTTAAAAACACAAAGTTGCTGTACAGAAGAAGCTGCAGAAGTCCATTGCTGCATTAAAGTCCATATTATGATACTGTACAAGGAAGCGCCTCCAGGTAGGCACATATCTCAGTTCAAGAGTAACAGGGTTTAAGTTTATTTTTTTGATTTGCAGACTGCAAGCTCAACGGGTTTGTTACCAAAGAGGAAGGGGGGAAACTTCTCCTTCCCTCCTCAAAACCCCCAAATCTGCTAACAGCAGCACGCAATCTCACTGTGTGCCTCGAAGACTGAAACACTCTCAAGTCAGGTGGATGAAAAATTTGCCCGCTTCAACTCCATAGCAATAAGCCTCCTACACTAACAGAGAAGAACAAAATGCATTCAACTACAAAAAGGGCAACTGCAACACTCCTTTCATTTATGAGCAATATTATTTGTAATACATTCATGCCTCCAGTGCTCATACGAGATGATATTCTCCTGTCAGCACAGAGATGCTCAATTAAACAATCATGCAGGACAGGCTGTAGTTAATCGTACCTCTAGGTTGCTTTGAAGCAATGGGAACACTGAGGAGGACGGGAGGAGGAAGGGCATGATTCATTTTGTATATATATAGTTATTCCTCATTGAAGTTGATTATAGATCTATTTCAACTGCTGAAGCTGAACACTGGTTTGTGGGTGTGTGCACATCATTTTCACTGCAGTCCCAGGTGATGTCAGCCCCAGAGAGGTGGTTTTCCTGCAGGTGCAGCCAACTGCAGCTCAAACCACCCACGGCCAGAGCCTCCAGGGACGTCCCTCATGAAAGGGAGAAGCTGCAGAGCAGAGACTCTGAAGAGCCCAGTGCCTTTACTGCAGGCTTAACTGGAAAGCTACTTGAAGCGCAGGTCTCAGCCTTGTACTAAATCACCCAGTTCAAATGAATCTCTGCTTTCAACTCAAACTGCGTAGCCACCGGCAGCAAAGGGAAAAGCACACCCTGTCAGCTGCCAACACAGTCAATCAATCTGCAAAATTCAACTCTATTGCAGCTAACTCAGTTGGGAGGACAGAGCCTTCAGGCAAGGGCTCTTTCAATGCAAGGAATGTCACTCGCAGTACAGTTATGGGCGTTATGGTATATATACATTTTTTTTCTGGGAAAATTTTTCATCCAGTACCTAAAGAAAGTAGTTGAATAATGAAGATACTTAAAGATAATTGTGCTCCATCAAAAAACAAAACCTGCACATCAAGTGGAACTTGAAGATTCAGTTCTTATAAGCACAGGATTCCTGCAGCGTTTGAGAAGACACTCTGCATCATTTGGTTACAACACCTCCGTACCGCAGAAGAGTATCTCTGAGGCCTAATTATGCTGCCACAAACCAGAGCACTACTTCACATGTACTTGTGATTTATTTTTTTCTTTTCTTTTGGTATTTCGTAAACATCTTGAATTCTAATGCAAAAGTACACAGAGGCTTTGTGCCTGCTAAGGGTTTTTGCTGTTCAAAGGGTAAAATTCTGATCCTCATGAAAGGAACAGTTATTAACTTCAATAGCGTCAAGATTTCACATTTGATATTTCCAGGCTGGACACAAACTAAAAGAAAGGAGATTCTGCAAGTGAATATGATACACAGCATGTAATCCAATAACAACGATGCTTATTTTACCTGCAGTAAAGGGACACACTGTAACACGGAATGGACTAAAAACCAACATACATCTTACAGAGCAAGCATAACTAGCTAGGAGGCTAGCAAACTTATTAGGTGTCACTCAGGAGAATCCAGTAATTATTCTTCTGTAACTCGCTTTTAGACTATTGGTCAAAATGCAGTAGGCAGATTTACAATTGCACTGGCTTTAACTGATAACCAGAGAAACAACATCATAGCCAGGGATCAGTACCAAACTGGACAGCATTTTTTTTCCCCTCTGTGCTGCATCAGGAACACAAAGATATAATAATAATAATGTCAACAAGCTGTACAAAACTACAGAAGTGCTTTTGCAGATTATATCTACAAGCTGGAGAGAAGCTGCTACCATGTAAGGGAAAATGGGGCTTGGGCTTTCATTGGGTGAAAAGTGGATATTCCTCCTTGTTTAGAGACAGAACCAAAAAAAAAAAAAACAAACAACCAACAACCCAGGCTTTCAAAAAGGTCTAGGTGCTAATGAGCCCAACCGTTCTTGTTAACGTGTTTAGGTATTTTCTGGTAATTCCCAGGAAAGTGATCCAAGGGCTATTTTATGATGGAAATACGGGAAGGATTTAAATGCAAGATATTAAACATGCTGATGAGAGCAGTCATACAACTAAATTTGTCAAAGCATGAGTGGCATTTGGTGCCTATCATCACTGATGCCTGTGTCTTCATGCCCAGGAAGCACTCCCTCATAATGAGTAATAAGCAATAAACTGTCCACATTCATGCTGGTAGATAGCTGCATTTCTGTCTGCCCATCCACAGATACTTCAGATGCCTTTATTTGTCACTAGAAAGAGTTCATTAGGTGCCCTGAAAGCTCTCCAGATCCCGTGTAGGTTATACTTGAAGCACAACAGAAAGGGAAACCCAGGCATTTGCTGTTCCCTCACCACGAACATAGCCAGTAATAGCTTTTGGGGACTGTTCTCCTTGACTATCAGGAAACAGAAGATACGGTGTCATCAGCAACTTATCTACAATGAAGTGTATGTCTCTAAAAAGACTTGATGGCTTGTTTCTAGTGGACAGGTATGATCTGGGTAGAAGGAGAGGCTGAGATGTACCAGCACTGAAACAAAGCAGAGGGAGGCAGCACAGCTCTGGACAAGCCAAAGCCGTGAGCCAGTAAAGCTCGATAACATCATGTGGGAGAAAGGAATTGGAGGACTAGTGCTCCCAGAATCTTCCTGGGTTAACGCAGTAGCATGTCCTCACCTAACAGACGCTGTTTCACTGTGTTAAGCTGCCTTAAATAGATGGAGGTGATGACTTCCTTGCTGCATCCAGTGCTCAGAAGGGCCCTACGGCTCGTGGCTGTAAACTCAGGCGAGCAGTTGCTCGTAGGCAGCAGTAAGTCTGCCAAACAGGGCAGATCCAGCTTCAGCCTAAACGGGGCCAGGAAGGGCTGGCAGCTGTGCCACCGCATGACTGCATCAGATGGCAGAGAGGCGGGTGCTCCGGCACGCCTGCCTGAGGTATTCCAGGCAGGAATACGGGGGCACGGCGAGTATTGCACATGCTGGACACGCTGAACTCATGACTTCCACTGAGAGGCCACACGGTACCTTCACACATTCTTCTAGATTCATGCGAATCCTAAACAATATTGTAGCATCTGTAGTGCTGAGGCTAAAGTCTCATCACCCTTCTTAACAAGCCTGCCCAAGGACATCTCCAGAGTCAGAACAAGAGCATGTGGGGTGAGGTGAGTAGATGAGAACTGGCTTCTTGGAGCATGTTAAGTTTAACGTAAAATTTAGTGATTTTTTTTTTTTAAATACTTTGAATGACAGGGTTGCTCTTGCAGGCTAATGCAGTAATGAATTTACAAAAATTCTGAAGGGAATCCTACACAAAACTATTTCTGGTTTAACCATCACTTATGGTCTGAGTGCACAGCAGTTCACCATGTCCAAAGTGAATTTTCTTTTCCAAAGAAAACCAAATATAGTGCTAAACGCTGCAGGTTGCAGTTTCAAGTTTGTCCTCAGTCATTAGTAGTGTTTACAAATTGGAGAATTTGAGGGCAGAGGGACAAGGTGTATTGCTTTTTCATGTCATCATTAAGGCCATGCTATATTGACACAAGGATGGAAATAAATCCACATGATTCACTTATTTCTGCCTTCTGAAGCCACAAAATTATTTTAACAGTCTGAACTTGTTTGCCTTGAACATGTACCTGGACACAACGGGGTGAACAAAGATCAGTATTGGATTTCTACTCCTGCAGATTTTTCTCCTTCAACTATTTATAGCAAGAATGTCAGAACAAACTGGCACCCACCCACCACACGCAGTGCAAGACCATTAGTCTCTATGACAACCTGATCAGAATAAACTTGTGAAGAAGTCAACTGAACAATAAAAACTAAACCCCTCAAACTATGGCACCTGCAAGAAATTGGCAGGAAAAGGGAAAAAAAAGGAAAGCTCCTTCTGGCAGGGAGGGAGTAACAAACAAACAAAAATAAAACCCTGAAAAGTCTTCCTGCCAAGAGGGTTTACACTTTCAAGGTTTCTTAAAACCAAGCTCTAATCTACTTTTTAAATCTGCCAGGAATTTAGAGAAATCTCTTCCCAGAACCAGTTTTACACAAGAACTACACTGCACTTGATCAGACTGTGGCCAGTGCTTGGATCCTGCTCACGCTTCTTGACCATGGGATAAATGCAACAGAGAGAGAAGGGCTTGTTTTGGTTTTTCTTGCTGCCACACGCTCCTTTCAATTACCAAAGGATAAGGTATTTCGGAGTTCAACACAACCTTCTCATATGCAACAGAGAATCCATGCATACAACAGTGGATATAGACTTTTTTTTTACCTTTATAAAAGAGTACCACTATCTTCTGAAAGGCTTTCATGAAGTGGATGTTGTCGTAGCAGTACTCCTGCACCTTCTGGAGAAGAATCAACTCTGACTGGCCTTGAGTGCTGAACACAGCAAGCAGGGGGGCATATTGCTGCAAGGAAGAGGGTAAATAACCAAAATACATGTCAGTATACTGAAACTAAAAATAAATAAATAAAATTATTTAATGCACACATGAATTTCATCCCTGAAAATCTGTTTCACTGAAACCTTAGATGTACTTGACAGTTGCATTTACTTAAACACATACAACGCATATACATAAATATCCATCAGCTCTTTAAAGATATGCTGCATGCTGTGAGCTAAGATTCAGTACCACTTACAGATATTGAATTTTGTAAAATCAATTTATAAAGTCTCCATCTTGGAGTACTGCTGTTCATACATTTCACAAGGTAGCACGCTGCTGATTCAGGAGTGATACTTTATTGATGTTCATAACATAAGACATACAAAGATGAAGCACATGAAAATACAATTCTGTAGTTTCGCCGAGGTTTCAGAAGTGTCAGGAAACTGAATTAAATTAAATTTTTTTCAGGTTAACTGTGATCAAGTGTCATTATTATTTTCTCATTATCACCATCAGAGTATCATGACCTTTGCTTTGGTAAACAGCAATGTTTTCAAAGCACAGCATTAACTGCTAACTTTATTCTGACAAGACAGCAGCAGTAGATTTCATTGTCTTTTCCTAGAGTTTATTAATACAATAAAAGACAAAGTAAAAAGTTCTTTGTTATGATTTTTATCTCCCTCTAATTTCAGATCTTAAAATAAAAAATTACATCAAAGGACCATATCCTGTTCACTGTTTCCTGAAAAACTACAGTGTTTATGTCCATATCACTCCAATTTCCTTTCCTCTTAGCTTGTAGTGAGTCCAGCTCAGACTGCAATCTTGAATTCAAGGCAATATTAATAGCATTTTTCAGAGCTGAAGGAAGACAAATTACCCTTCAGCGACCCCAGCCACATAAGGTTACTACTAAAATTGTTCTCACACTGCTCTGTTCAACCTTTCTTCATCATTTTCAGTAACACTGTCAGTTTGGCATTTTTTCAGCTGGGTTTGCAATGGCCTGACATCACAGAGTTCCGGTCGGTGCAACCAGGGCTGCTGATGGATGCGGTCAGGTAACAGATCACCCATCATCACATCTCAGCACTGATGGACACGTTCAGGAGTACATACGCTTCAGGACTTCTTTACAAGGGGCTAAATCCTGAGGGTTTCACTCAACATGATCCATGGAAAAAACTACTAAAACACATGGAAAATTGACTAAGATATGAAAAGTTGGTCCAGAATGTCTTTTGCAAAATAACAATCACCAATTAATTTAAAAACAGAGGGCAAGAAATCACACAGCAACTGTAACAAGAACAGCTAAGCAGGCAGACAGTATTATTACTTTTGGAAGAAACTTCCTTACAAAGTAACTACGAGAAATTACTCCGTGTAGCTAACACCAAAGGTTGTTTTTCCCACTTCCTGCAGGTATGGCCACATCTTTAGAAACAACGTTACTGTTTTGGTAAAAGCACTGCAAAACTCCTGCAGGCTTTGGGTAACGAAACTGCCTCTTTTTCCCCTTTTGGCCCTTGAAGCATCCAGCTGGGATCTAGGCAAGTTGCAGGGAGGCAGAGCAATAGACACTGCAGTTCATTTATTTGGCAGCGTCAGCAGAACCCACTCCCATCCACAGGTCTGTGAAGTGCTGCTGTCTAAGTAATTCATATTGAAAAAAAAAAAAAACCAACACAACTTTTCAGTTTAGAAGTACGGTACTTTCATTTTGACACATCTGACTGACTCCCTTCGCATTCCTCTCTCACTCCTCAACTGATGAAGACAATTAAAAGTTTCACAAGTGTCTAACTGACTAAGGAACCATAAAATAAGCTTCCTCTCGCTGCCGGCTGAGCTCAGTGGCATGATTTTCCCTTTGCCTCAGGTTAGGTAGCAGCAGGTCAGCAGCTGCAGCATCATGAAAAGCTCACACCACAGCCTCGCCTGCAGTGCGACTTGTCTGAAGGATTCTCCCCACCCACGGGGAAATGTCTCTTCTTTGCACTGGAGGTGGCCTAGGGGCCAAGACCCAGTGTCACAGTGAGGTTACTGGGACAATGAAGAGCTTATCCTGTAAGATTCAGGGTTTAACAGCTTGGTCTCTGTCTCCTACTGAGATCAGCTCCTGCCAGTCCTGCCATGCAGATGGCACATGTGGCATTTACTGGATAACCGCTGCTCACCACCTCCATTAGGAAGCCACTCGTCCAGTAAAGCTTGTTCAGGAACTCTAAACTAGGTCAATATTCTGTGCCTTGATACGTCTTTTCAGGGGTCCCTCATATACACCTTACTAAATGAAATCTACTAAATCCAAAAGACTGGTAACCAGATGTCAAAGCTTTGGGAACTGTGCTTTGTGAAAGTTATCTGCCAGGTACAGCCATACAAGAATAAATTCCACCACCTGGCATGTCCCACCTCAAGTATGTATTTACATGCACCCTGACTCATGCCACCAGGGCGAAACAACTCCACGATTGTTTCAGGGCACATCGACACACGGGAGGGGACAGGAACTAGACTCTGTGTCACACTAACAGCGCTAATCTGATTTCTGGAGTTGGTCAACACATTGGATCAGCTGAGAGCCCAATGAGAGAAATCCAAGATCTGTCTACCTATCCATAGAGGAAGGATGCGAAACAAACGCTATTCATTTTTGAACACTGAAATGTAAAGAAGCAGCTAGCAAAATCTAAATTTCTATTTCTACTGCTTCTGTTAAAATCTTACCTGTAAGTGCAAATAATAAATATCTCATACAAATTTGCCCTCTGTTTTTAAACAGTGGATGTAGCTACAAAGATGCTTATCTTATATAAACAAAATGCCTTACCTAATTTAGTGGGGTTACATACATAGCTTATGGCTTGGATCAGTGAGATACACAGGAGTAAGCATCCAGTAAACAACATTTATCCAAAGCCAGCTATGTTTCTCTTTTCCCAATGTTCAAATATTCCAAAAAGTGTTTGTTAATTTGCCCTGCAGTACTAGACAATTAATCTCAATAGATCCTCTTGTTACAGCTCAGAAAGATACAATCAATTTTTACATCAAAAGAACAAGAAAAACAATGTCTCTCCTCCTTCTGGAAACTATCTCATCTTTCTACTGCTATTTGGGTCACTTGAGAAGACTTCAAGGCATTCAATCTTACCATCAAAGACTACACAAGATCCCAAGTGACATTGCTAGGATGGCTGATTGGGAAACCATATTCAGATGAAAGGACAGCAGTAGTAGGAGCTAAGCCAATGTGGGAACTTCAAGTATGAAGAAGCGTCCAACATGAAGGAAGGAATTCAGATCAAGCTTAAGATCCATTTTACTATAAAGAATGAAGTACAGATTGCTTCTGTCCAAGGGCAAATCTTTGCAGCCGTGGCTATAAGGGAGTATTCTCTTGCTCATGGTTTACCAGCTTAAAAGGACTAATTCTGATGAAAAGCCTCTCTGCCTCTGTTCTCCGTTCAAGTGTCTTGCACCGCACAGTTCCTTCAGACTTAGTGGGGAATACCAACCATATCACTGACTCCAATGCCTCTGCACTGTTTTTAGGTTTGTTTGGGGTTTTTTTCCACTCCAAGGTCACAGGAGTTTTTGTACCAACACACAACTGTGGTAACTGCAATCTGTCATCACTTAGCGAACTACAGCCCGGATTTCTATGGTTTCAGTTCTCTCATCCACAAGGACACATCTGAAGCAGAGATTAACCACACTATACAGCGCACACGCTCTCAAGCCAGCTCCTGGCTAATTAGTTGACAAATCACTGAGTATCCAGCTCCCACAGCCAACATCGGCAACAACCATTTCACAGATTCTGAGCTCAGCAGTCCTGCCTGGATCTAGCCAGCTCTGTGCAAAGCCAGCACAGGCGCCACCTCACCACGCTCCCAAAACTTCTTTGCTTCTGGTAAAGACATTGCAAAGGCCGCTCCTGCAGGTTTACTAGTCAGATCTGAGCAGAGCTGAGTCTCAGCATTTGCTCAGCATTGTCCCCAAGGCAAGGAGCCCCTCAGGATCCGGCGCACTGAGAAAGCACACCGCAGAGGTGCTCGGGCTGCGACCACCTCCGTTTGCCCCGGTTCTCTGCACTGTACGCCTCAGGGCGTTCAGTAGTGTGAACCACCTCAGTTTTGCATTCATTTGACTGAAGAAGAAAGGACTATACACAATGCTCGCTGTGGTCACTGTCAGCCCTCAAAACTCTAAATGTCCTGGATTTAAATGGGTAAAAATGTGACAGCTGTAGAATGTGTTCTGTTAATTCACAGCAGCCCTTCCCCTCTTCACCCATGCACACACCTTTAGATGTTTGAGGGCTTGCTCTGCAACCAGCTCTTCTTTCTTGTTCCATTCCACAGCATTCATGACACAGGTCCACAGGAGACCGATCACCGCTGGCTCTGGCAGCTCATTTCTTTTCATTTCCTCCTTTACATAAAGCACTACCTGGAGCAGGAAATAAACTGCTGTCTTAAGGAACATTTCCAATCAACCAGAAACGATGCTGACTTACCAAATACTTGCAATCATTTACAAGTAACATAACGGTATAGAAGTAATGAGAAACAACAATAACAAAAAGGAAGCATTTAGCATGTTTTTATTTAGCAACATTACTATTACTTGACTACAAGTTTTGTCCCTCCCCTCCAACCTAACACTTAATGCAGTTAAATGAAATACATTGTCATCAAGCGTAACTGAACAAAAAAGCCCAAACCCCATAGTCAGCTGTACTTGCAAATCCAGAGGATGTTTCATTGCTTTAATCTTAAGCACAGAGTGAACTGATGAATAAATTAAAATAAAGAAAAGCAGAGAAAAATCTATGAGGTGCTCACATCTGTTCCTCTGTACTTACTATTGATTAAAGTCTTTGACTATTATTATATAAACAGAAGTTGTAAAAACATAAATAACAAAACTACTCTTTACCT